TGACCCTCTGGGCACAGCCCCTGGCTCCAGGTTGTGCACCTGCTCCCTTCTTTGACCCTTCAGGTCTGGGCATGGTAATGTCACCTCCCAACAAGTCCCCTGCAGGGGTTCTGCCCCGCCTCTGTTATCTTCCCTACTTCCTGCAAACATCTTTGCAGATAGGCTCTTTATTAAAGTCTCCCCAAATGATCCTGACCTGCTGTGTCCTTTGTTGTTGCCAAGACCCTGAGAGACATCGTGTGACTTGCCCAAGATCACATGAGGGAACCAAGCTAGAACTCTAGTCTCTTCACCCTCTTAGATAAGTGGTCCTTCAGTCAAGTAGGTCCCAGTGGGCACTGCCTCTCGTACCTGGGGAAGTATTTTGGGGGTCTCTGGCATCAAGCAGGCCAGAGAGAAATGTGGGAGAATCCTATGGATCATGCCAGGATGGCACAGTGTCTGCTTTGAGACATGCTGGAAGAGAAGAATGAGAAATTAAAGTGCCCAGGACCCTTCACCAGCTCTAGGACTTGGGAAGACCTCAACTCCCAGAGAGTCAACAGGCAAAATATAGCTAATGCTGATAGAGCAGATGCTGTGCCTGTGACAGACATGAACTAGTTAGATCTGCACAACAAACCTACAAGGAACTTAATCTCGTAACAACATTGATTATAATGCACCCTGTGTCCAGAGACTTTTAAATGAGCATAAATGTCAATAAAATGGGTATTATTTCCATTATTTGCTAATGAAGAATCTCCTCCTCATTAATTTTATTATTTATCTTCTGTATTATCATCATTAGTAGTATTTTTTTTTTAAGAGAGAAAAAGAGCTTGTGGGTGGGGGGAGGGCCAGAGGGGGAGAGAGAACCCTAAGCAGACTCCTCGCCCAGCTCAGATCCCCCTCGCAAGGCTCAATCTCACGACCCTGAGATCATGACGTGAGCTGAAATCGAATCTGACCTTTAACAGACTGAGCCACCCAGGCGCCCCCATCATTAGTAGTATTTTTATACCCAGACCATGCATCAGAGCTAGGGCATCACTGTCTCATAGGATGCCCTCAGAAGGCAGCCTGGTGAGGACAGGGGATTCTCCAGGATGTAAGCTCCATGCAGGTTAAAACCATGTGTGACTCATTCTCTTTAAGTAGCATCATGTCTGAGTGTGGTTCCTGGTACACAGTGGACACTCAGTAATCAAACCTTCATTGAATGGATGGAGGAAGGGATGAAGGAAGGAAGGAGGGAAGGAAGGAGACAAGAAGGAAGGAAGGAGGCAGAGAGGGAGGGAGGGAGGAAGGAAGGAAGAGAGGGAGGGAGGGAGGAGGGAAGGAAGGAAGGAAGGAAGGAAGGAAGGAAGGAAGGAAGGAAGGACAGACGAGGGAAGGATAAATTAATTTGTGACATTATGGCCTTTGGGACACCAAGGCCAACTCCAACATACTTAGCTTAGCTTTCTGAATTCAGGCTCCTCCTCTGCAAAAGGGGACGGACAGCAGTACCTGTCTCACAGGCTCACTGAGTCACGTGTAAAGTGCCTGACCCCATGCCTGGAACAAAGTAGGTGTTCAGTAAATGCCCATTCCCCATCCTGCTCTACCGCTGGTTAAGAAAGCTGCTGGGGCTGACTGAGCAGGAGGGAATCAGTTTTCTGCCTCCGGATGCTTTCCCCAGGTCACCGTCTGTGAGATCGGCATGAACGTGGCCCCAGGTGGCCGTGGTTGGGAAGCGGGGCATGAGGTGAAGTTGAAGGAGATTCATGACCTTGACTGTCCTCTGCAGCCTGATTTATGGGGCTGTGCCGTCTCTTGGATGAGATATAGACAGTGTGAACGAGAGACATGAAGAAAGCCTTAATCCCCAAATGGCGGAAAGAGATACTCTGGGGTCCACGATGTGTTTGATTAAATACATCAGGTGGGGCATGATTTTCCCCAAACAGAATCCCATCAGCTGTCAGGTCTTTATTGGCGTGTCTGAAGTAGGAATGAAATATTTTTTCCACTTAGCTGACAAAATCTTTGCCTGATTTGTTAAAAAAACAAACAAACAAAAAACACGAAAACCAAAAACAAAACAAAACAAAAAAAAACAAGAACCTGGCCACAGAATATTACAGTCCTGTCACTGACCCAACCCCAGCCCAGTGGGGTAGGAGGCACTGTGGAAAGAAGGAAAGAAGCCGTCCTCAGGAAAAAAGATGTCTGATCTCTTGGGGGTGGCAAAGGGGCATGGCGAGTGGCCTGCAAGGGCCCCGGATGCTGGGAGGTCAGGCTGGGAGAAATGGAAGAGAATTTACTCTTTGCCTCTTTCCTGGAGCTGAGCCATCTGATGGGTTCCTGGGAGCAACGAGAAACAGCTCCCTGGCAGAGCCCACTCTGTTCTGTAGCATCCCTGGCCCTGTACTCCCAGCCATGCCGGTTGTCAGAACTGGAAGCCTTTCAGGGAGGATCATGGGAGTCCCAGAAGCCAGAGGGGGCTGGAATTCAAGGCTCGGTCTGATGGAGCCGTGGCTGGGGGAGAAATTCTGACTTCCTAATTCTCAGACCTGCCTCTGCTTGCCCGGCCTCTCGGACCAGCTTCTCGAAAAGCATTTGCCTCTGGAGAAGTAATTCCTTGCGGTCTTCCCCCGGGGTTTCCTGGGATGGCATTTTCCTTCAGAGGAGGCTAACTGGCAATTTGGAGTCTAGAGGCAGAACAAATGTTGACGTCTTCCCAACGTCCAGACTCAGGACGTTGAGTCGTCCTGCGGCCCTACTGTTCTGAACTCTGGCACATAGTAGGTCCAGCTGGGTAGGTTTCCTACATGCCCCCACCTCTCTGAACTTGGGTCATGGTGCTGCAGGATGTCTGATCATCTTCTGCTGGGTACACCTGAGTTCATCCCAGGAGTCAGTGAAAACACCACCCCCACCATGAAGCCTGATACATCTTGGTCTTTCCTCCCATCGTGCCATTTTTAGTTGTCCCCATTCCTACTAAACCAGGGGTGTGATGGCCTGAATTGTGTCTCCCCAGAAATTCATAGGTTGAAATCCCAATGTCCCCATACTTCAGAAAGTGACGATATTTGGAGATAGGGTCTTTCAAGAAGTACTGAGTTAGAATGCAGTCATTAGGGTGAGCCCTGATCCAGTAGGACAGGTGTCTAAGAGGAGGAGGTGAGGACACAGGTGCCCACACAGGGGATGACCAAGGGAAGCCTCAGGGAGAAGACAGCCATCCACAAGCCACGGAACGAGGCTTCAGAAGAAACCAGTCCTGCCCACACCTTGATCGCAGACTTCAGCCCCTCCAGAGCTGGGAGAGAAGACATTTCGGTGGTGTAAGATGCCCGGGGCTATGGAGCTTTGTCATGGCAGCTCGAGCACTCATTCAAGTGCCAGCAAACTCCTTTTTTGTAAAAAAGGACCGGATAGTCAGTATTTTCAGCTTTGCCAGCCGTATGGTGTCTGTCGCAAGGACTCAGCTCTGCTGTAGTTTGTGAAAGCAGACAACTCGTTAGCGAGTGGGCATGGCAACAGTCCAGGGAGCCTTGACTTACAGAACAGGCAGCTGCTTGGACCTGGCCCCCTCCCCTGCCCCGGGGGCAGCCGCTCGCTGACCACTGTGTGAGCTAAATTCCCATGCCATCAGAGCTTATGACCACTTTATTTTCATTGGATTCCTAAGGGTGGAGCCGAGGGCGGGGCACACAGCAGATGTGCTGTGTTCAATGGATGTATATGTATTTTTTTTATTAATTGTTTAAACTTCTCATATTGAAATAATTAGAGCAGTGGCAAAAATAGGACAAAGAGTTCCACGTAGCCTTTACCGTGTCAGCCTCACCTGTGACCTTTTGACATGCATCAAATCAGTCTACATCGATTTACAGAGCGATGTTAAAGCCAGGGAGCTTAGGGGCGCCTGGGTGGCTCAGTTGGTTAAGCGACTGCCTTCAGCTCAGGTCATGATCCTGGAGTCCCGGGATCGAGTCCCGCATCGAGTCCCGCATCGGGCTCCCTGCTCAGCAGGGAGCCTGCTTCTCCCTCTGACCCTCTCCCCTCTCATGCTCTCTATCTCATTCTCTCTTAAATAAATAAATAAAATCTTAAAAAAAAAAAAAAAAAGCCAGGGAGCTTGGCTCTGCCTCTTCCCAGCTGTGGATCCCTGGGCATGTCACTTAACTCCTCTGAGCCTTAATTTTGTCATCTGTAAAACTGCTAATAGTAGAACCTAGCCACTGGGCGGCCAGAATTTAAATAGAAAATACGTACAAAGAATTCAGCACAGCGTTCGGGACTGAGTAAGCGCTCAATTAATGCCGATGAGCGTAAGTCTTCGGTGTCCTACTTTCATTGATTGCCTGATGTTTCCAGACCCAAACACCCTACTCTGAGGTGTAGACATCAGTCCTCCGGGTGACCCTTGGGAGATCAGCTCAAGACTTTTTCTAGGAAGACCCTTTGCTGTGGGAGCAGAAGGATCCTCTCTCTGTGGGAGCTCCAACTCCAGGACTGTCTGATGAGCATGGCGGGGGGAAATGGGAAGGCTCCGAGAAGCATGAAGTAGGGCCCGATGAGGAACGGAACCCACGCACCTTCCACTGCATTTCTGGACAAACTTATTAAATATGACCTAAGACTTTATGAATGCTTGGAGGGCCAAGAGAAGGTCCAACCCATGACATTCCTTGCTCAAATGCAATCAAGTATTTACAGAGTCTCATCCTAGATCTGGCCACCCTCAGAAAGGCCTTGAGGAGCCCAGTGATTTTATCACTGCAGAAGAGCAAAAGTCCCAAACCAGGAGCTGGAGAGAGAACAGAAACGTGGCCAACCCCACAGAGAAGCGTGAGAAAGGGCAGCTAATAGGCCCCAGGCCTGGCTTAGCTCTGCTTAACTGTATCTTGAAGTGGGCTTTTCCAAAAGGCAAGGATAATGATGCTGATGGACATGATAAAAACAATAGCAACAACAGCTAACATTTAAGTAGCACTTCCTGTAAGTCCCCCCTGTTCTGAGACCTTCACATTTATGTTAATTCCTTTATGCGAATGAACTGTCAGTGCTTGCTAAGGTAGGTACAATTATTCATTTATTTTCGCTATTTTTTATTTTACAAATGAACACACCAAGGCAAAGAGAGGTTAAGTAACACACCCAAGGTCACACAGCCAATAAGAGGCAGGGCTGGGATTCGAACCCAGGCCCCATAGCTCTGCAGTCTGTGCTCAACCTCCAGAAGCATCTAGCAGCTCCTCCTCAGAGAACAGCTCTCCTAGTGGATAAGCAAGCAGTTTCCACAGTGGATTCCCTAGCACAGGATCAGAAAAGTCCGACTTTGTGCGCAAGAGCTCCAACGGAGCGTATTACCGTGTAAATACACAGAAAAAAGAAAAACAAAACACACATTTTCCACAATGGGAAACCATCGCACCATGATTTTGTTGACAAATTTCAATCAATCCTACTAACTGAGTGGTGTTTGTTTGCTCGTGGTGGTGGTCCTATGGTAATACAGGCCTGCTAAGGAGAAGAGAGGAATTCTTTCTGAGTTGGTTAACAATTGGTACGAATGGGGTACAGTGTGAGTGTTTCCTGATATCGTGGTAGAAAGCCAGCCTCATTCTACAAAGCCTTGCCTTGCTCTCCTGAAACACTGCCTGTCCCTCTTGGGAACTTGCCAGAACACCGGCGGTGTCTCTCTTTGGCACTTGAACGCCTCCCTCATAGGGTCGGAGCTCGCTCATATGGGTAAGCAGTCAGGAGCAGACATGGGGGGGAGGGGGACTTCCTGAGTCTGAATCCCAGGTAAACTCATCATTCCTTGTGCGATCTACTACTCACTTCACCAATTTAGAACAGAAACTGTTAACCAGCACGGATTCTGTCCCACGGGCGACGCTCGGCTGGAGAGAGTTTTGGTTGTCACAACTTGGGGGGAGGGTACATCTGCTGGGTAGGGGTCAGCGGTGCTACTCAGCATCCCACAGCACACAGGATGGCCCCCACGCCCAAGAACTGTCCAGCCCCCAACGTCAACAGCACCGAGTTTGAGAAACTCCGTTCTAGAAGCTTCCATTTCTTCATCTACCGAATTGAGTTTTAGAGCCTACGCCAGGGTAAGATGAAACAAGCTATGAAAATGCGAAGGGACAGAGCAGGGCATGCCTGGGATAAATGCTCTTATTCTTCCCATTTTAATTCAGCGATGTAGGAACAGAAACCCCCTCTTCGGGGCCGGATTTGGCAGCCCCCACTGGAGTCTGAGGTGGGAACAGAGGCTCTCAGAGGAAAGACCGTTTTGTTATTGTCTCTCTTCCAGCTCATCCGCCAGCCACCCCTGCCCTCCCCTCTCAGCCAAGCTCGGAGACTGGATGCAAAAGCCATTATTAAAAAATGAACATGAGTTGTTTTTTCCCCTTTTTGATCAAATAATCCAGTTTGCTGCCTCAGACAAATCATTATTCATATGGAACCTGCTTGTGCCATCCCAGGGGAGGAAGGCCAAATTGATTTAACATCTAATCCAGTTTGTACCTTCTGCTAACCCCAGTGGTACGCTAACTTCACCCTTGCAGGATGGGGAGGAAGGGGTGGGCGGGAGCAGCGGGGCAGAGGGAGACAGGAGGAAGTTAACCCAAGGAGCAGCTCTGCCAGGGAGTGGTGGCCATGCAGCGTGCCATTGTGGCACCCAGCCTGCCTTCTCCCTCAGCGGTGTGTCCCCTTCTTCCTCCCGCTCCTCATCATAACACCACCACCATCAAAAGGACAGCCACCTACTCTGTGCTGAGTGGGATCCCTGAGGACACCCTGTCCGAGAGACATCATGGCACCCATCCTACGACTGGGGAAGCTGAAGTTCGGGGAGGTTGAAGAACATGAGGAGACACCTAGGAAGTTCTAGAACCGCATCTCGGAGTCAGTTCTGCCTGTCTCCAAAGCCATAACCAACAGAGTAACAGGCGCGGGGAGGTAGGAAGGTGTTCAGAAGAGTTCTAGAGTTTTTCTTTTCCCATAAAGGTCCCCTGAGTGATAGTCCAGGCACCTTTGGGTTGCCTCGGTGTGGTGGTTGAAGGGTCAGCTGACCCAGGTTATGGCCCCATTTCTGAATTTTCTGGGGCTCACCGCTAAGCCCATCTGTCTGTCCCTCCTCTCTCAGGGCTTCAGGGGGGAGGTGGGCGATGTGGAAACAGCTTCTGACAGCCTCTGGAGGGGAAGGTACTGGGCATCCTAGGGTACCAGGCAGGGTCCTCTGGCCATGTCCCTCCTTTACATGGTGGCACCTTCTAGGTTGTCACCCTGAGCAGGCAAGTGGCAGATACGGGACTTGACTCCGGGTCTGTCTGGCTCCACGCTGGGGTCTCTTTCTATGGGGTGGCACCTCGCTTCTTCCCAGTGTTCTCGTGCCTTCTGCTCCTCATCAACACTTGCTCTCAGGAAGTGCCCTCAAGTGTCTGCTGAGGAAATGTCTTTCACCTGAAGAGAGAAAATAGCTTGAGGTGAGCTTCCAGGGAAGAGGTGGGAAGGCTAGGGAGAGAGGGCAGGCAGGAGGGCGTCTGTGCAGAAGGAGGGAAGGAGGGAGGGGAGGGAGGGAGAAGGAGGAAGGGACCCAGGGAGGGGGAGAGGAAGGAGAGGGGAGGGAAGAGAAGGGGACAGGAGGAGACATGTTTTCCTAAGGACGCTGTGAGAAGGACAAACAGCACCGATAGGAGTCCAGGCATCAGAGGGAGCCAGGGAAGGGCAGGGAGGCTCCCAGCTTTGCCCAGCCCAGCGGAGCGGAGCTCTGATGAGGGTCCCCAGCTGACGCAGCATCGTTCGGCACGTCAAGGGGCTGGCAGCTTGGGGAGGACCAAGAAACAGTACCAGTGTAGGGTTGGCGTTTTTCTGGTGGACCCCAGCATCCGGGCTGTGTGAGACCAGCCCTCAGGACCCTGCCAACAGCCCCTCACTGGCAGGTCATCACCGTGGAAAATCAGATTATTCTCCATGAGGGAGTGTGAGGCACCCTCTGGGGAATCCGGAACAACTGAGGGACACTAAACACGGGGCCCCCAAGCTGTGCAGGCAGGAACTCAGTGCAAATAATTAAGCACCTGTTCCGCATCAGCCCCCTTCTGGGCAGGGTGCATGTTCGCCTACTTAGTCGTCACCAAGAAGGCGGTGTTACCACCCCAGTTTTATGGGAGGAGACACTGAGGCCGAGGTCAGCCCTCAGGGGCAGAGCATGGAAGCGAGATGCTGCGGGGGCTCGGACCCTGGTGCTCCTCCGCCCGGCGGGGCCCACGAGCTCCCGGGGCTGGAAAACGGGGGCCTGGGCTTTGTGGTTCAGGAAGGAACAGCACCGAGGGAGTAATGGCACCCACAGGGCCTGCGGGGCGAGCCCTCTGCCTGAGAGCATGTGGGGGGGTGTACGGTTGTGTGTGTTTTGTCCGTGTGTGTGTGTTCGTGTTTGTGTTTCTATGTGTATTTGTTTGTGTTGCTCTGTGTGTGGGGGGGGCTTCCGTGCTTGGGTGTGTATTCGTGTGTGTGTTGGTGCCTGTTCATACGGGTAGTTTGTGCTCATGTTTGAATTTCTGCCTGTTATTTGCATGTGTTTCGTCTGTGTGCTCGTGTCTGTTTTCCATAGGCTTTTGTGTTTGTGTTTCTTTGTGTGTGTGTTTGTGCTCATGTGTGTCTGTGTGGGTGTTCGTGGGTATGTGAGCTTTGTGTTTGCTGTTCCGTGTGTGCGCGTTTCAGTTTGTGCTTCTGAGTGGGATGTGCGCGTGCGTGCGTGTGTGCGTGGGTGTGTGCGTGTGCGCGTGGGTGCGTGTGCGCGTGGGTGTGGGTGCGTGGGTGCATGGGTGTGTGGGTGTGTGCATGCGAGTGGGTGCGTGGGTGCGTGGGTGTGCACGTGTGCGCGTGTGTGCGTGGGTATGGGTGCGTGGGTGCATGGGTGCGTGGGTGTGTGCATGCGAGTGGGTGCGTGGATGTGCACGTGGGTGCGTGGGTGCGTGGGTGTGTGCGCGTGTGCGTGGGTGTGTGCATGCGAGTGGGTGCGTGTGTGCGTGTGTGTGCACGTGGGTGCGTGTGCGCGTGGGTGTGGGTGCGTGGGTGTGCACGTGTGTGCGTGTGCGCGTGGGTGCGTGCATGCGAGTGGGTGCGTGGGTGCGTGGATGCGCGCGTGTGTGCGCGCGCGTGGGTGTGTGCGTGCGCGCGTGGGTGTGTGCGGGCGCGCGTGGGTGTGTGGGCGCGCGTGGGTGGGCGCGTGCGTGGGTGTGTGGGTGCCTGTGTGCGTGCGTGTGTGGGTGCGTGGGTATGTGTGCGTGGGTGCGTGGGTGTGTGTCTTTTGCACAGCTGAGGTTGGCAGACGGAAGGGATTGCTGGTGTGGGAAGAGCCTGACCAACACGACCCGCGTGTGACCTGGACGGGGCGGGGGCGCCACGGAAGCTCTGTCGGGGCCTCCGTCCTCCGAGTACAGGGCCTGGGCAGCCCGGGGCTCCTGTCTCCCCGGCATCGGCCTCGTCACCGCCAGGGCCTGCGTCCGTCCCACCGGGCCGGCGCGGGCTGCCTGACCGCCCTCTCTTCCTGTCCTTGCCAGTTGTCCGTCCACCCAGAGCCGCCGGGGAGAACCGCGCTCAGTCTGTGCGACGGTGTCTTCAGGCCTGCGACGGGCACAACCTGCCCGACCAGCACGTATCGCTCTCTCGCAGCCTCCCGCCCCTGCTCAGATTCCAGGCCTGCGTCTCCCTCTGGGCCCTTGAATAATTCAGACAGGAGGATCCCACTGCAGACCCAGCCGGTCTAGCGACGGAGGGCGTGAGGCGGAGGGTGGGATGCACCATATGGAACGTGTCCCTGGAGCTCTGGGTGACAGAGCCCCCCATCACCAGCCTGGGTCTTGTAGCAAAACCCGCCAACTCTGCCTGGGATGTCACTGGTCGATTCTGGCAGCAGATGGGCCCTCCTGACCCCTGACACGCCCCGGAGCAGAGGATCCGAGGAGGGGACAGAGTGAAGTTGACAGGACCCACTCTCTGAGCTGGGGGCATTTTGCAGAGAAAGCGAGAACCACTTGCAGGAAGATACTTCTCCATCTGCCGCGGTATCCACAGGCCTGGAAGGTCCCTGGCGGCATCCAAACAAGAAAGCAGCAGGCCGCTCGGTCGCTGACCCTCGCTTGAGAGAGGGTTTCTGGACAAAAACATGCAGGAATAGGCTGGTGCCAGCCTGCCTGCCCACCGGGGGCCCTAGCCAGAGTCAGACTTGTAGGAAAACTGCACTGCCTGGATTCGGGTCCGTCCCAAAGTGGACCCTGAGACAAGGATTGGGGGCCAAGTAGTTTATTGGGAGGGCGGGCCCCAGGAAGGGTGATGAGGATGGGGGAAAGAAAGGGAAGGAGGATAGCCATTTAGAGGCACATAAGAGGCTGAAGGCAGTCTGGGAGGCTCCAGAGCACTGAGCCACCATTTCCCATTCGTCGTGGGCACGTTAGGGACGCTGAGCAGGGGTCAGGGACAAGCAGAGAGAGGCATGTGCTTGAGGTAAGATGCCACTGGCACAAAGGGACTGGTCCCCTGAAGCTGCAGGTGGCCTCGCTGTGACCAAGAGGCCATGGAGCATCCATGGAACAGGGCCACCATTCGCAGACCTTGCTCGTGCATTTGCTTGCTTGTCTTCTGTCCTCTGAGACACCCAACTCGGCCTCGGCTCGGGGTCCTTCCCCAGTCTGGGCCTCAGCTCTGAGAGAACGTTCCATGCTTCCCCACCCCCACATAGGCCCCCTCTAGAGTAGGATTTCTCTACTCCTAGTGGCATTTGGGGTCGGGTGATTCTCCGTGGCGGGGGCTGCCCCATGCACCGCAGGAAATAGTATGTTAGCCCGTTTGGGCTGCTATAACCAAGCGCCGTAGACTGGGGGGGGGGGGGGGGGCTTCTAAACAACATAAATTTATTTCTCCCTGTTGTGGAGGCTGGAAGCCTGAGACCGGGGTGCCAGCAGGGTGTATCATGTGACCGAAAGAGCAAGGGAGCTCTCTGCGGACTCCGTTTCTAGGGACACTAATCTCATTCACGAGGGCTCCGTGCTCCTGACCTCATCATCTCCCCAAGGCCCCCCCTCCGAATCCCATCTCCTTGGGGAGTTCGGATGTCACCGTTAGATGCCGGGGGACACACACATTCAGTCCTCGGCAGACAGGTACTGCTAACACCTGCTGGGAAAGGAGCTCAGCTTCAAAGGCATTGTTTCATTTAATGCCTTACATGAACTTTGTGTGATTGGGAAGATCATCTCTCTCCAGTTACAGCTGAAAGCCAAAGTTTAGAGATCGGGAGTTACTTCCCCGCAGATTGAATGAGCAAATATAAGAGACGTCTCCGTGGCAGATATGATGACCTATTGATTCACTTACATCAGGGGGTCAGCAAACTTTTTCTGCAAAGGGCAGAGAGTGAGTAAATATTTTAGGCTTTGTGGACCAAGAGGCAAGATGGAGACTATTGTGTAGGGACTGATCTAACCAGTTTAAAGGGGTTCATTTAAAAATGTAAAAACCATTCTTAGCTTGCAGAAGCCTGGATATGGGCTCCTGGGCTCCCGTTTCCCTGCCCTTGACCTGAGGTGGAGGCAGTGAGAGAGATGATTGTTTCTCAGAAGGCACTCAGTTGGGATTTGGAAATAAAGGTGGACCCCAGATTTAAAAAGGAGGGACCAGCAACCTCGTATATAAGGGGAGCCTTGCTGCTCCCTCCGAACCATCCCTTTCTAATCTTCTCACCCCTGCCCAGAGCTTTCCGTGTTCTGACTTAGAACTGAACAAACAGGTGGGTTGGGGCCACGGAAGGTGGGTAGGTGGCTTTGGGTCCCAGGGCTGCGCATGCCTGTGTGTGTTGGGGGCAATGCAGGAGAGCGTGGGGGCCATTGCTCCTATCAGATCCACAAGGGGCACAGCCTCCCACCACGTGGGCAAACCCATTGCAGACTCAATCCCCTGGCAATTGAATTTGCCTTTTGATGCCTTACATGTTTTCCCAGATCCACTCTTCGGCCAGTTGATGTTCTGGGATTAAAACTGGGCTGGAGGCATTTACAAATAAAGGAAACGCGGAAGCCTGGACAGTGCGTAAACGTTTTCTTTGTCTAAGGGTGCTAACCACGCGGATCGAGAGGCCTCCTACCCGAGTCCGTTGAATCAACACTGTTTGTCTAAACTTCAATCCTGGGGCAGCTCCCATGACAGACAGAGGCTGGTGCAGCTTCTCTGATTTGCCACCTTTGGGGACTCCAGAGCCAGCTAGATGTTTCCTGGTCTATTCTGACTGTAGATGGGGTCACTGGGCAGACAGAACAAACTCAGCACCAGCAACCCCTGGGTGAGGTGGTCATTCAGAGGAAGGGTACTGTTTCCTCCTTTCCTTGGGTCATCCTGGTATAACTAAAAACAACCAGGCAGGTGTTATGAGACTAGGCTCCCAGGCACCATCCTGATCCCTCACTCCAGAGTGATGTGGTACAGTGACCAGACCTCTCTTCTCCTCACTCTTCCCATCTATAAAATGGGAACAAACACTCCATCGTATTGGGTGCTCTTTTTCAGTTAGCCCATGGATTTTGATCAGCACAGACCTCTGCTGAATTTTGGATACAGATGAGCTTAAACTCGAGGTTGGAGTGATTTAAAGACTATCAAAGACCACACAACTAAAGGTGGCAAGAGATGGGGAGAAGAATCTGGGTTTTCTGACTCCCACGCCAATGCCCCTTCCACTGGAAGAAGTAGAAGGATGCCTTTCGTCTGCTTGCCTGCCAAGTCCGTGTTGAGTGTCCAAAGCAGGTACACGCAGGCTGCCGTGTGGAGCCATGGCATGTCCAAGGATGTTGCACTAGACAGACAGCATGAAGTTTTAGGGAGGCAGAAGACTAGACTCTGGAGCCTCACTCACTGCCTTGGTCCAAATTTGGGCTCTGCTATGACTAGCTGGGGGAGCTTGGACAAGTGAATGAACTTCCCTGTGCATCATCTTCAGCATCTGTAAAAGGGGGTGATAATGGCAGCTGACTTTCCAGGGCTGTAAGGATGTCATGAATCTGTCCATGGAAAGCCAGGCATGAGCCATTCTGTAAATATTATCCTTGCTGTGGCTCCTATTCTTTGTCAAGTGGGGATTTCTTCAGGGATCGAAGAAATCTTTCCCCCTGCAGAGGCCAGGTTTGGATGCCCGTGTTCTAGAGACAGGCAGAGAGGGATGTAGGTCGTGAGCCCCCCCAAATGCTAAACTCCCCCTCTCCTCTACCCTCCACCATCCCTATGGAACCCCAAAGACTTGGCACCTTTTCCAGGCACAAAAATCTCAGCATGAGAATCTCCTCCGCCAAAAAAAGAATTCTAACAGTCACACAGATATTGACAAGCAACTGACCCAGAGGGAAAGCCCAAGTTACTCCCGAAAGGCACAGAGCATTATCTGAGCCATTTTTTCATAGTGAGAGTTTATTTCCTTTTCTATTGAATAAGATACCATTGCTCAGCCTACTTAAGGGTGGTTTTCTTCCCATTGACTCATACCACAAGAGAACTTGGCATCTGAGGCCGCCCAGGTTTTCTATAAGGAACAAGAAGGCGGCAGAGAGGGTAAGAGAGGAGGCTCCAGGCTGGGTGCAATCAGCTACCGTCACCCAGCTCACAAGCACTGAAAGTCTCGCCAGTGGCCACAGGGAGAGAAGGCAGTAGAAGGGCCTGCCTTGCATCCCACTCTGCAGCCCCATGGCCTGCCCATCCAACTCCCAGACCAGTCTGTACCATATGGACCTGGGTTTGAATAACTGCATCCAGCTTTTCATTACTCCAAGTCACTTACCTGGTTTCATTTTTCACTGCCAGGTGAATGATTCCTTGGGGAAATCAATGACCTACTAGCCCTACAAAGCCTGGGAGAGGTGTGTTAGGGGGAGAATGGAAAGGAGTCTGTGTAAACCAATCTAGAAAATTGCCATGCTAAGTACAAAAGGGAAAAAGCAGAAGCAACTTAAATGTCCAACAATAGGGGATCGGTGTAGGGGATGGTTTTAGTCAGTGTGTTCTGATACGGGCTCAGTTCCATGGCAAGTATCAGGCAGTAAGATCGTTGTGGGAAATACCAAACATGTGCCTTGGTTTGGCGCTTGCATGATTGAACACAGTGACGTGTCAGCCACTCACTAACCTGCCAGTCTTCTCATCTGTTCTGATTCCTTTCTCTCCTCTGTTCTGTATTGCAGGGAGCTGATCCCTGCAAACCACATTAGTGTCCCTTGGTTTCCAGTTAGTTTCAGCCAATGGTGGGGACACCAGCGAAATACCGGAGGGTGGGATTAAGGGGGGAGCCATGACACACCGTGTTTTGGGAGGCATCTCGGGGAGGCAGTGGCTCTGTCTTCTCCATGACTCCGGCACCCACAGGACAGCCTCTCCTTCCGTGGTCCCAGTTCCCTCTGGACAGCCCCTGGAGGAAGGAAGACCAAGGGAAGAGGAGCGGCTGACTCTATTGCAGGCTGGGTTCTCTGGGGAATAGACTCCAAGACAGAATTTAGGATAAGGATATCTATTAAGCAGTTTCTTTAGAATCAACACCCAAGGAAGATGGGGTATGCTTATTACCTAGAGGGACTGATGTGAGGAAAGGTATTTTAGTAATAGACAAAATAAAAATGCTGAATTTTAGTGTGGGCCAAATATGACTCGAGGCACGTCTACAAGACCTAGCTTTGTAGAGTTTGCCAAATTCTAGGTGAATGAACCAGGGCTGGGGATTGGCTGTTAGTGAAAGGAAGCCCCAGTTAATAGTGGTGTTAAAAGGAACGAATGGGATCCAGAAGAATAGATGTGGGTGGTATCATGTCAGGGACCCAGGTTCCTTCCATCTTTTTGCTCCTCCAGCACAGCCCTCATCCACAGATCCATCTCATGTTTCAATATGGTGGCCTCCATGTTCCAGGGCACGTGATGAAGGAAAGGAAAAGAAAGGCCAAAGACCATGCATCAGCTGTCTCTTAGGATGGGTCCCGGAAGCTGCTACTGGGCACTCCTCTTTACACTGAAGTGGCCAAAACTGAGTCATAGGACCACATTTAGTTGCAGAAGTGCCTGGAAAGTGTGATGTCTATTCTAGGAAGTTGTGTGTTTCGATAGAACTTCTCATACAGCGCTATTCAAGAAGGTGAAAATGGATTTTAGAAAGCAGCCAGCAATCCTTGCTACAGGACATGCATATTGCATGCACCATCTAATTCAGTTCTCATAAGAATCCTAAAAAGAGGATGATTCCCATTATATGGATAAGCAAAAGGGGCCCAGAGGCACCAAACTGATATGGTGGATTCTTAACAGCACCAGTTTCAACCTCCTTTCTCAAGGTCTCTGTTAGCTACAGGCAATGTATTCAACTCACCGGGGGTTAATGTTTCCATTTCTTTGGAGTTCCAGGAACAATATGTAGGCAAGATGGCCAGGCCCTCCTGGCTGACCTTGCTCTCTCTCCCAGCAGCACTAGGGCTTTGTACGCTTTGTAGCTCTGTTTGTTTTGCAATTACCGTGGGTTAAGGGCCCTCTGACATTTTTACAGCGGGTAAGGGGAGGCACCAATCCTCACCCCTCCCCTTGATTCTTTGATTGTCATTTCCTCTACCTTTAAAAGAAAATTGTATAATGGCCATCACTTAGGCACCTTTCCAAAGTACTTGAACTACATTAATGCAAAGGGCCCTGTGAGGAAGTAGCCCCAGATGTCACTTGCCAAGTTAGGAAGAGGAAAAAGAGGATTCAGAGCTCCCTTTACTGAGATCCCGTCACTGAACAGTGCCACATGGGGGCATGAATTGTGGTTATATTGCCCATTCTGCAGAACCCAGAGCCAACTCAAACAGTATCAAAGTTGTTAATGAGATTTGGCCCCATTAGGCTCATGTAAACACTGGTAACAAGACTTCAAACCTCTGTTAAATATATATATATATATTTACATTATAAATATATATATAAGATATATATATTTAAATATATAATATAAATATATATTTTATGTGTATTTATATATAAATATAATAATAACAATATAAATATATATTATATATTATATAAATAAATAAAATTAATATATATAATAATGTAATATATGTAATAAAATATATCATATATTTATATATAAATAAAATAATAAAAAATAAATAAAATAAATAAATCTATAAAATATAAATATATATATTATATATTATATACACACACATATGTACATACATATATATGTGCGTGTGTGCATGAGTGTGTGTGCACGTGTGTGTGTGTATTCGTGAGAATGTGAGCAGTTGAAAGAGACTAACCATACTTTTACATCTGTCCCTCGTGGGGCTGATCTGGGAAAGGTGTTGGTCTAAATTGGGGGTGGAAGGTGACAAAGGTAGTGTTATCACTTGTTGAGTGACAAATCAATAATCCGTCTGCTGCTTCTGCAGGACTAGCATTCTCTCAGCTTTCTGGGGAGAAAGCTTTTTCTGGGGGGGATCCTTTTTGTCTAATTTTTTTTTCTGGGGAACTGCCTCGTCTTGCGCTCCGTCCACGTGGTTTGGGCAAGGTTGATTCTCTTCCCTTCAGCTTGGCTAACTGGCATCCTCCACTCCGCTGGTTCTAGTGCTCAATGCAAGGAAGGGCATATGATTCAAGTTAGTTCAATAAGATTCAGTCCCAGAACAGTGGCTACAATTGTAGGGGAAGAGGGGAAGCAGGCTCTGAGGATACCCGACCTTATCCCCCCACTCCCAGTACTGACTGGCCCCACTTCCTACCTCAAGCACTTGAGATGCTCCATCTGAGGATTTTCTCTAATGCTCTCAGACCTTGCATGGGGCAGACAGAGGTGCTGTGCGGTCAGTGCCCCGGGCAGCACAATCACAGATGGGTGCTGGAGAATCAGTATCTCATCTCCCTTGTCCCTGGAACAGGGCATGTGCTCTGAACTATCTCCCTGCCGCCCCCACCCCCGAGGTCCCTAGTGAGGTGTGGTCTCTATGGTCTCACAGGGGTCCCAGTGGGATTGAACATTAATTGCCCACGGTGATAACCTGCTCAGGAACGCACCTCCCTTCCCTTCCCTCCTCATGTTCCCATTCCCGTTTCAGAGTTTTCAAGGGATGACTTCCCAAATAAATCATCTCTTCTTGAATCCTGTCTCGGTGTCTGCTTCTGAGGGAACCCAGCCTAACACAATAAAGCAAGGACCTACCTGAAAAAGCAGTCAACACAGAAGAGGTAGTGCAGAGAAAGAGAGAGAGAGAAACATTTTCGATGGCATCATGTTGGGCTGCTGGATCCAGCCATGCCTGAAGGTTAAATCACCCTCCGATGTGCCCTAAGGGAAAACATGGAGGAACTGGGATTCCAAGGTCTCTGTTGTGATTCTTGTCATATTTCCTTTCCACACTTCCCTAGATGGCTCCAGGTGTCTATCCCCACGGTATTTCTAGAGCCCAGTGACATGCATTCATTCCAAGGTCTGCTGGACCTTATAACTGAGAGAAGGTTAAAGCTACCAGGGTGTCACACAGTTCAAATCCTTCACTGCAATTTCATGCAAAGAACCTTCTGGCAGCTTCCTTTTCACTGCTGTGCTCTTGTCTGCCAAGCCAGTCTCAGGCCTGGGCATCCCCCAGGAGATGTTAACTCATCTCCCTTATCTGCTTGACTGACTGTCATCTTGACACATCACTGAGCTGGTGATGAAGCCCTTAATTAGTACATGTCTCCAGGGCTCCCATTTTGCCACCTCTTCTTCCATTTGTCCTCCCCGCACCTCTCTCCTCCCCGTCTCTTTACCGTGTCCGAAGAGGAACCCCCACCTGCTACTTCGCAATGCTGTTCCTTTGACTTTCAGAACCTCCACTCACTGTCACGGGGCCAGAGCCATCTGCACTCACTGCAGACCGGGCTCAAAAGGGAGCACCTTGAAGTGGGGTTATCCCATCTCCCACCCCCCGCCTCCGATTCCCCCCTTGAAAGACGCCTGGGATGCCCAGTATGCAAATGAGGATACAGGTACACTTACCAGTTTGGGCCTCAGGGCGAGACCTGGTTCCAGTCCTAGCTCAGTTGCTTACCAGCTGGGTGAGTTTTTAGCCTTTCAGTTTTCATTGTCCTATAACATAAAGGGAAGAATGCTGACTTTCTTTTTGACTGTTGAAGAATATTCCATTGTGTGTGTGTATGTGTACGTGTGCGTGTACATATATATGTAGATGCGCATATTATTCGGTGGTAAACAAGAAGGAAACCCCACCATTTGCAACAACGTGGATGAACCTAGAGGACATTACACTGAGTGAAATAAGCCACACAGAGAAAGACGAAAATGGTATGATCTCATTTCTATGTGGAATCTAAAAAAAAAAAAAAAAAAGTTGAATTCATCAAATGGGGAGTAGAGTAGTGGTTGCCAGGAGCTGGGGGCTGGAGGAAATAGGGGAAGTGTTGGTCAAAGGGCACCAACTCTTCAGTTATAAGATGAGTAAGTCCTTATCAAATATACCACCTGGAGACCTGGTTTCTTTGAATGACTCCCAATTTCCAAAGAAAAAAAAAGTCCATGTTGTCTGTGTGCTGTTGGTAGTGGAAGAACCACATGGAAAGGAGGATTGTCATCGGCATGATCTCATTCAGTGAAGGGGTCAGTCAATGAGATAACCCCTATAGAAGTCCATGGAGTAGGGCGCCTGGGTGGCTCAGTTCGCTAAGCGACTGCCTTCGGCTCAGGTCATGATCCCAGAATCCTGGGATTGAGCCCCGCATTGGGCTCCCAGCTCAGCGGAGAGCCTGCTTCTCCCTCTGGCCCTCTCCCCTCTCATGCTGTTTGTCTCTCTCAAATAAATAAAGAAAGAAAGAAAATCTTAAAGAAAAAAAGAAAAGAAGTCCATGGAGTAAATGCTCAGTAAATACTTATTACTATTATTGTAATATCAGTTGCTGTTGTTGAATGGGTCGTACTTTGTAAATTGTAAACTACCACTTAATTTAATAATAAATACATTAACGAATATTTATTAAGTATTAACTAAGGGCTAAACATTGAGGATTCTGGAATACATAAGTTGGACCAAGTCCCTGTCCTCATGGTGTTTACATTCTGGTGCAGAACTATCCACTAGAATTGTCTATGATGATGGAAATGTCCTGTACGTGCACTGTCCAATATGGTAGCCACTTTCCCCTTGTGACTACCGAGCTATCGAAATATTGCTGCTGTAACCAATGAACTGGATTTTAAATTTTTATTTGATTTGAATTAATTTTAGTTAAATTTAAATACCCACCTTTGGCCAGTGGCTACTGTATTAGTACAAGTCTAGTGGATGGAAATATACAGTTATTTGCAAGTTAAAAGTTAACATCGAATTTAGTAACCAATGAATTAGCAATGACCTATTGAGTTTCCACAAAGTGAGTATCCACAGAGCGCTAAGCATTGAGGGTTCAGTGTTCCATAAGTTGGGCAAAGTGCAAGCTCTGAAGATAGGATATCGAAGCTAAAACCCAAATGGGATGGACATCATTTTGTCTTGTGATAGTCACGTCCTGTATGAGCCGCAGGAAAGCATTCTAGGCAGAAGGATCAGCAAGCACAAAAGCTGTGAGGTGGGAGCAAGCCTGGGTTGTGAGAGGAGCATTACAAAAGGCAAGAGAGGGTGAACCAAAGTGAGAGGGGGCATGAGCATGGAATGATATCAAAACACACAGGGACAGATTGTGGCAAGGCATTTAGATTCTACTGGGGCTCTGTGGGAATCCACTGGGGGCTTTGCATGGGGGAATGACATGATGAGAATAATCTGCATAAAAAGTCCCCTGGCTACTCTATCAATGAATCTCCAAAATGAATGTCCAAAACCTAGAATAGATAGAGATCAACAGTTGAAAAGTTCTTAGGGTCATCGAGGTATCAGATAATGACTTACTAGCATGCTTACAAAGTATTCAGCACGCTATCTGGCACAAAACAGGTATTTAAAAAATAACTATGGTTATTTTGGAGACTACTGGCTTCCCACGATGGAAACAATAGTTTATGCTAGCCAGTCAATCTGTCAAAGTAGAGTATTCATGAAACACTGTTATGGATCTTGAGTTCAAGGGCTTCTGGAATCAAGTTAAAGTCTCCTCCTTTAAATAATTCTGACACAACTGGAGAGAGAAGTCCGATGTTCTGCAAACAACCAAGCAGATCCCCAGCTAGGGCATGAGCAATAGCTGGAAGACATGAATCCTCCTTGCAGGCTCTCCTAGCTCAAAGAAAAGAAGCTGCTAAGAAAGACATTCCCCTACTCATCCCCCCCCAAAGAATGCTCCTTTTGGAAACGATTGCTGAGTTTTTTCCATTTGGAAAGCATTGATGCATCTTCCAGAAGGAGATGAAGCCTGAGCACACACAGATGGGCAGCCCTGCCATTTCCTCAAGGGGAGGAGGAGATGCGTATGGATGTGTCCCAAACACAATGAATGGAGTTTTTTCTGGGCAGAGTGGGGGCGCACTGGGAATGGGGTACTGGAGGTCATTAAGCCTCTTGAGTTAAGGAACCATCTGTAGCGTGAAATGCTACATCCTGTCATGAGGAGACTAAATGGTCAGGGGCTGCTGCCAACAACCTATGCTTCTCACCCCTCTGCTCCCCGCCAACCACCACCATCTTGAGCTCTTCCATGTCCAGGAGTTAGAAGGCATTCTCTGCGACACTGGCTGAAGGCAATAATTTCTCCAGTTAAACCATAAAACCAGATGCTAAATACATAATATGGACAAAAAGGGGGACAAAACAAAGGAGAGATCATTCGGCAGTTGCATGACTCTGGGGAGTGACAAACCCATGCCTTGCTGTACTCAACCTCCATTAATTACCCTTCATGTGTTGCTTTTTTTTTTTTTAAACCACCCCTGACCATGAATGGAAAATGAAGACTTTTTTCCTGTTTCCCACATTGAGAGACAATGGCACCGCTCGCTCGCCCCGTGCGGACCGTGTGACTTTGGCCAAACAAGATTTGCGATGTCTTTCAGTCTTAGCAGCTATCTTGGAAAATGCGGGGATATCCTATCTATGTTAAAAGTCTGTTGTAAAGATCAGTGAGAACATGTGTGTAAGAAGTTGAGCACAGCGCAGGCATACAGTGGGGCTCAGTGAGACTTGGGCACCCCATGCATTATGTGCATTAATATAGACTAGCGGGCACCTGGGTGGCTCAGCCGGTGAAGAGTCTGCCTTTGGTTCAGGTCACGATCCCGGGCTCCTGGGATTGAGCCCTGCCTTGAGCTCCCCACTCAGCAGGAGTCGGCTTCTCTCTCTCCCTTTACCCCTCTTCCCTGCCCGTGCTCTCCCTCTCTCCCTCTCTCAAATAAATAAATAAGATCTTAAAAAAAAAAAAAAAATGTCAGAATAGCAAGTATTCCATCAGTGACTAGAGCAATGCCTGCCACATTCCAGGCCATGGTGCGTGTGGTACTGAGTTGAACGTTTACAGCTGCCTAAAGACCCATCTTTCAAGGGTAATGCATTTTCAGAGCAGAGAACAGGGTCCCAGAGAATTAAGCTAACAGGGGCAACCTCGCCTTTGTGCAATGCTTTCTAAACCGGAGTCACACAGATTGGAGTCTGAACCACAGCTCAGCCATTTTAGCATCTGGAGAGCCTCAAACAACTCTCCTAGAGATTCCCAGTTATGTGTTGCTGAAGTGGGGATAATAACACACATTATCTTGTGGTGCTGCGCCTTAATCTTAATCTGGTGTTTTATAGAGCCAACTGGAATGGTGGCTGCCACGGTCATTGTTATTAATATAAAATTCATGTTGCAGCAATAGAATTATTAGCGTTAATAATAATAGCGATGCCCACAGAATATTTAGTTAGCATCGATGCAACTTGGTGCGAGATCCAAGAGTAAGGGGTGCTTGCGTAGAAGATTACTATCAGCTCTATGCATTGATCCATCCAAAAAAATAGTTATTTATTCTACTGTGTGCCAGACACCAGCCGAGGACCTGGGGATGCACAGTAAATATGACAGATGAGATCCCTGGTGTCCTGGAACGTCATAAAGGAAAGATTTGGGAAACAGACAATAAACAGACAAACAGTTAAGGGTATACATGTTGAACATGGCAAGTGGTAATCAGTTCTAAGAAGAAAAACTGCAAGGTCAGGAGAAAGAGTGATGGGCGGTCAGATAGAGGTGTGTTGTCAACAGGTGGTCAGGAAAGGTCTTTCTGATAAGGTGACATTTGGGCAGAGACCTCGAGGAAGTGGGGGAGTGGCCTTGCGGATATGTCCGGAGGAGCAGCAAGTGCAAAGGCCCTGAGGCTGGAGGAAAGAGAAAGGAAACTGAGTAGGGTGGAGGATGAGCGGACAGGCTCTCACACAGTGCCATGCACGCTGTGGAGTAGGTGCACCATTGCGGGGTCAGCCTCAGAACGCGGCTTGGGGGCACCATGCATCCGAGCTGTTGTGCTGAGAAAACGCAGTTTTTATTTTCATACATTTGGGGAGTCCAACCAGTGGGTCTTCTGGTCCCCCTGGAAGTCACACCCGAGACATCTGCTAGAAATGGTCACGTTGAGACGGTAGGCGCCAGAACCCTGGCCACAGTCCCTGGCACATGGCCTTTCTGCAAGGCGTGTTAGGCGGATCTTTGGGAGGGTTTCTTCCCCGTGGCTTCCCTGGGACAAGATGCCAACAGCTCCCCGGGCTCACTCCCTGGGCTGCATCATCAGTGACGTCTGGGGCCAGAGAGCCCCAATTAGCAGCCTTCTGCTGCCCAGATGGTTGGGGGACACAGGAAGACAGAGGGGTCAGCGGCTTGGGTGGCTTTCCTGGAGTACAGCCCCTGTCCCTGCTCAGCAGGCGAAGGCCACATTTGGCCAGGGAGTAACTGCTTCCATTCCCAGCACTGTGACTCACCACCTTCCAGAAGCTGAGAATTCCCTTAGAAAACCAAAGGTCTGAGGTGTGCAGAAAAGGATAATTGGATGGAATGTGTCCTTGCCTCATGCGAAGGGCACTGCCAGGGGCTTGGGGCCCAGAATCACAGGAATGTCCTCAGTTGCACTCAGTGCAGCTGGGCAGCTTTGTCCCTAAGTCATGTCCAGCTAAA